CAGTGGGAAAAAACCATGGATAAGGGAAAAAGAGTGCAGCGCGCAATTACTCCCCCTCATTATTATATCACTGAACATCTTTGAGACTGCGCAATAACTTTTTAAATGTTGCGGTCGGAAGAGCCTTAGTGAATAAGTCTGCTAAATTTTCACTCGAACGAATCTGCAATACTTTTATATCTCCATTCTTCTGAAGATCATGAGTGAAGAAAAATTTGGGTAAGATGTGCTTTGTTCTGTCACCTTTGATATATCCTTCCTTAAGTTGAGCAATACAAGCTGCATTATCCTCATATAGAGTTGTCGGTGCCTCTTTCCCAGATGATAAACCACAAACTTTTTTTATGTGTTGAATTACCGACCTTAACCATACACATTCACGACTAGCCTCGTGAATTGCTAAAATCTCAAAATGATTGGAAGAAGTAGCTGCAATGGTTTGTTTCATGGAACGCCAAGAAATGGCAGTACCACCATACGTGAACACATATCCAGTTTGTGATCGACCATTATGAGGATCAGATAAATAACCTGCATCTGCAAAACCAATCAAATTTTCTTTGGACAACTTTGGGAAAAATAAACCCATATCCTTCGTACCTTGAAGATAACGAAGTAAATGTTTGATCCCATTCCAATGCCTCCGAGTTGGACATGAACTAAACCTTGCTAATAGATTAACTAAAAATGATATGTCGGGTCGTGTATGACTTGCAAGATACATTAGTGTTCCAATTGCACTAAGAAATGGTACTTCAGGACCAAGAATTTCTTCATCATTTTCCTGAGGTCGGAATGGAGTATCACTGTTTTTTGGTGGTCATACCTTTCCTTTAAATTACTCCAAAGGATTTGTGGATATTTCACAGTTAAATATTCATTTTTGAGTCCTTCATGGAGGTGATTGCGAAGGAATATCATGGCTTTAGCTTTATCTTGAGGTGTTGCCTCATTAGCCTCTTTAATGGTTTCACCAAGGCCTTTAGCATCTAGGTGTATTTCAGCATCTAACACCCATGATAAATAGTTCTTTCCAGTAATATCAAGGGCCACAAATTCAAGTTTGGCAAAATTCGACATTTTTCACTATATAAAATAATAAGCAAAATTAGATCTCATAAAATATCAAACATATACATATCATAACATAATGGAAAAATGTATGCAAATAAAATAACATGGCTAAGCTCATTCGTACAAGCACAAAAGCACATTACAACCACAATTAGAGTAGTATATTATAACATAATTTGATAGTGAGGAACAAGTCAGAAGCAAAATTAATACACAAGAAATCTAATAATCATAAACTAATAATCATAAAAGCATATTGTAACCTGACATACAACCTTGTAAAAAAACAAAACCGAAGGCGTATAAGGTGAAGGATATGAATGACATATATAGACACGTATATTTAGAAGCCAATATTGATGAAATCTTTAGAAGGTATGTAACAACGACATCAGATCAAGATATGAAACAGTTCCTAGCAACATATAATACCTTTGGACTTTTTTCTTGGCTAGTATACTTACGGAGTGATCAATGTAACAGTTTCGTTTAGAGTATGGTGCTGATAACGTATTATAAAATAAGGGGAAAAGGGAGAAGATTAGAGAGAGATGTAGATGATAATTGTATTCTCTATATTCATCCATTTCATGAGTCACCTATATATATACATGATAGAACATTGTAACCTATATGGACAATGAAGAGTCCATTCATGAGAGGGTTAATGTGAACTAATGATAAAGGAGGGTTACAAGGATGCTATTAAGACCATACTTAAGGTGGTCATAAAAGAGATAATTACAAGCTATAATGGGCATACATTAATATTTTGTAACATTTTACCTTTAATTTATACTTTATTACTCCGTAGTATTAAAAACACAAACCAATGAGACTGAGGAATAGCTCAAGTGGTTAGAGCTCTTTCCCGATTTCATGAGATTCGTCCAAATTAATCCATTGGTACTTTTATTTATCAAAACCCAAAAATACAAAATTCTAAAAAGGTTGGTTAAATAAAAAATTCTTAAAAACAAAGTAGGTTAATTACAATAATATAACATTAAAACCTAAAAAATTTGTAAATTTTTATGAATAAATTAATATAGAATAATAACTTATGCTTCTGTTTAGAACAAGCCCAAAAGCTTTTTTATTTTTATTTTTTTAAAAAGAAGCCCAAAAACTAGTTTATTCTACTGTAAAACAATTTAACCTTTGAAACCGTCTTCTTTTGAGTTTAGCAATATGACTTGCAACCTACTTTATTCTCAAGTCCCAATCCTCCCACCTCCCCACCCAATTTCATGGCTAACACCCAAAATTGCCGCCATCAACACCACCGACCTTCCTTTTCTCCTTCCTCTTCCATGGCAGGTTGCCAGGCTGTTAAACTACTCTATCTAACCATAATCAAACGCGCCATTAACGGCAACAATATCCTACAAATCTCAATTGAAAAGAAAAAGAGCCAAAAACATCAGAGATTCAAAGCCGCAACAATTTTTTTGGGGTTGAATTTGGTGAACATAGCCATAGATCAAATTATATATTCAAGGCAGAAAAAAAAAATTAGAGAAAGAGGGGTGGTGGATTATGGTAAATGTGATGGGGTTGCGACGGTGGATGCATGTATGGTGGATCGTCGGTGATAGATGTTTTGGTGAAAGTGGAAGACATGGGTGTTGGTGGGGTAGGGCTCACCGGAAGCAGTAGGAGAGGCGTTGGGGTGGGGGCGGGGAAGTAGTTGGCTGTTTGACATGGGCAATCAGCAACACCAACCGGTCAAGGTTCGTTAAAAGAAAAGTGATGATAAAAGGTGAGATTGGTTTGGAATAAGTTAAAGGTCAATTTGGTTTTAAAAGGTCGGAAAAATGGTAAGATAGTCTCTTCCATTTTTCCTCCTAGTATATTTTTTCTTTGTTAAATTTAATATTATTTTATTAGAATTAGATTATTTTTATATAAATATTAGATTATTTGTTAAACTTAATTTTTTCTTTGGGATAAGATATCTTTTATTTGGATAACAAATATGAAAGGATGGAAATTGAAGGGAAGAGAAATAAAGGGATTAATTTAAAAGAAATTAATTCCTCTAATAATGGAGAGATTTATAAGGAAAACTCCTCTTTGTTCCCTCCCCCTACCTTTCTCTCCCTTCTCCTTCACCTCTCTCCCCTTCTTTTCTTTCCAATTTCTTTATTCAAACATAGATGATTGAAGTTCAAAAAATAATTTAGTTTTCTTTAAGCTACACCCATTTCACCTTTAAACAATAATGGAAAATTTGTCATGAACTACACGCTTAATAGGTGTATTTGGAAACAACTACCCACTAAAAAATTTTATAAAAAAACTACACTAAATTTAAAAAGTTAGAGTAGCACTATCCATTTGTATTTTCCGACGATAATTTCCGGCGCATGAGCCCACTTTTTCATTTATTCTCTGAAAAGACACGATGCAATGACAAATTGGACCTTAATTCGTAACCCTAAGATAACCAATTTGAATTAAAAACAATAAATTCAACAAATTTCAAATTATCCCCAATTTCTAAGAACCCTAATTTTTCAAATCGTTACACCCTAACATCAAAATTCATAATTAATGGATTACAAGATAAGAATTACCTGTGAATTTCATACCCTACTTGTTTTTACTTCTTTAATTAGGAATTTTCAGAAGAAAAATTGAAAAAGTGAGCCTCATACGCCGGACTTTCTCTTCAGAAAATGCAAATGGGTAGTGCTACTTTAACTTTTTAAATTTAGGGGTAGTTTTTTTTGATAAATTTTTTTAGTGAATAGTTGTTTCCAAATACCCCTATTTAGCATGTAGTTTTTGACAATTTTTCCAATAATAATATTCAGTAAAAAAAAATTTGAGAATTAGTAAAAATAAGTTTTAATAAGCAAATAATTTCACTAAAATAATTTTTATTCATTAAAATTTTTATAAGTAATGCATTAGTTGAAACACTAATATAATTAATTATCAATTAGTAAATGTTTGAAAACTCTAATACAATGTGTTATGAAAGTATAAATTGATACCACCTTTGTATTTTAATAAGGGTTACACTTTTACTGTCATATATTTCTTTATAGTTATAACTAGAGCTGTCAATCCAGATATTCAAGTCGGGTTTGGGTCAGGTAGAATCAGGTCTCGGATTAAATCAGGATCAGGTTGTGTTGAGTCAATCTAGCCTCAGATCAGGTTCAGGTTCCGGTCAGGTCAATTTCGATTCAGGTTATTCCGGATCGTTCATTCTTTCGAGTATAGGTCGGGTTCGATTCGAGTCAAATTCATAACAGGTTCAATTTCCGGTTCGGGTTGTATTGAGTGTCGGGTTTGGTCGGGTTAATAGATGGTACATTCGGGTTCGGGTTAAGATTGGTTCAGATAATTGTTTGGTCGGATAATCTTAAAGTTGGATATTTTGGTTCAAGTTAGATCAATTCGAATAAATTCGATGTCGTCAAGTTAATTTATTTAATTACGCTCTGCATAATTTGTTCAAGCAATATCAAGATTTTATTACACCTATAAACGAAATAATAAAGAACAAAAGGTATATAAAATTTTATTAAATTTTTCATGACTCGCTTCAATAACAGGTTGTGTTGGGTTATAAACGTTTTCAAGTTCTAATAGGGTCAGATACTAGTTCGAGTTCGGATTGTTGTCAGGTCGGATTACGGTTACTATCGGGTCGGGTGTGGGTTCGGATTCAGGTCATAAAGTATTGGATCAAATCAGTTGTCGGTTAACATCAGGTTGGTTCAGGCCGGGTTACGGGTCACTAGTTTCACCCCATTGTTCGGGTATAAGTCAGGTTCAGATCATTTTCAGGTCGGGTTCTCGGGTCGGGTCAATTTTTGATAGCTCTAGTTATAACACTTCTCTTTTCACGCTTGCCAATGCATGTTTTCAATCGTTAATATCTTTAATTCCCGACATGTAAAAATTATAAACATTTGATATTAAAATTGTATAAGTCGAGACGAATCTAACAAGTCAACACATGACTATATTTATAAAATATAAACTGTCAAAATGAAATACATGCATAATGTAAAAGTCAAACCTGTTGCAATTATTAAAAAATGGAGGAAGTACTTTACAATTTAATTGATTTAAATAAAATAAGAGGTAAGTAGGGTGATGAGAGCATTAAAAAATTGTAAAGAAATATAGTTTAATAATTTATAGAAAAATAAGTAATAGTGGTATGGGTGCATGAGACCATGAGATGAGAAAAATATAATACTCCATCCGTCTCTTTATTAAATCCCTTTTCTTTTTTATTATTTATTATGTGAGTAATCAATGTTAGAAAGGGGACTCTAATAACGGGACGGAGGGAGTATTAGAAAAAATAGATTTCTTCACTATTTGACATTTTATGTTAAAAAGACCGTTAAATGTAACGTTTTGAATAAATTTATTCGACTTTTATGCCCAAAACATGCTATTATTATCGAGAATGCTTTATATTACATGTTTCACGCAAACTGAGTTATTTTTCCGCACGCAAAATGATGCAATTTCAATTATTTCTTGTAAATTTGACATTAAATCGGTTCTTTTGGACAAAAATGATCCCTGAAATTCTAAAGAGCATTTTTTTTGCACGAAATTTGAAGAATTATTTTTAAATGTTAGGTTTAACGTATTTCTTGTCAAATGGTGAAATTTTTTTTTGTTGGTATTATAAAATAATTTTTCTTAGGGAGGTAATTTCAACAAATGGGTTTTTGTAAATTTTTCTAAAATAAATCAAAAAAGAATCTTTCTATCAAACTTACGATCATCGTTGAATAAATCTTGTCGTTTTTCAATAAAATTAACGTAAGTTCAGCTAATACAAGATTTATTGTAAAAATTCATAAAGGGGGTAAACAACCTAAAGTTATGTGTTTGTGTAAATAATAAACAATTTTCATGAAAATCATTAGAAAAATACTGAGAAAGTATTAAAATTCCTCAATTATACTTGTATCTTATTTAATGGATCTTGCTAGATGTGTCTTTAAAAGTTGTAAATGAAACTGCTAATTGTATTAGTAGTGATTTTATCATGCTCATTTTATAGAAGATTGTATTATTTGAGGAAACACTTTTTTTCTTGTTTACCGTTTTTGGATTTTTTTTCTTCTAAAAAATAGAAACCTAAAAACGATATAAAACAAGCCCTCAATTAATACAATCAACAGTTTTATAAAGCCACTAATTTGAATCTTTTTGGCTAAGGTAGTGTTTAATAAATCTTCTATAAAATGAGTATGATAAAATCACTATAAGTACAATTAACAATTTTATTTACAACTTTTAAAGACACATCTAGCAATCCTATTTGCTTAGGGTTTGGCTTCTACATCCATCTTCCTCAAATTCTCATTTTTCAGGTAATAAAAATCCTAATTTCTTCATTTCCCGAGTTAAAGTTGCAATCAGTGAGTTAATATTTTGATTCCCCTATATAATTTGATTAAAAAATTGGATTTTTTTTGTTAGAAACTACCTAATAAAATCATGATCTTGTGAGAAGTTACGTAATAAAAGGTTGTAAAAGACGGAATAACTCAGGTTTGATTTCCACCATTGATCTAATTTTCTTATATTAACCCACCTCAAAACACCCCTAAAACCACCATGAGGGTTGTAGTAAGACTTTTTTTGGGATTGTTGGGGGATATTTTGAGTTAGTTGGTATTGGGATTCGAGATGATGGTTTTTGAGGTAAGAGAGGGTGATTTTGATGTTGGAGGGTGGTTTCGGCGTGATGGAGGCAATTTCATGGGATGAAAGAGGTGGTTTCAGGAGATGTTTTGAGGTGGGTTAATCCGTTAATGCATGAAAATTTGTTCAACGTGGAAATCCGGCCATATGTAGTATTTTACAATATTTATCTCTGGTAATTTCTTACCATTTTTTATTTTTTATTTTAAATTTTTTTACTGGGTACTTTCTCACAAAATCTGTATTTTATTAGGTAACTTTTGACTAGAGAATCCAAAAAAGTTTTAATTTTGCAATTTCATTGATGTTTTTGTATTAATTTCTGCATTAGGTGAACATTAACATGGAGAGGAGAGTTGATTTGGAGAAGAATTTAGATAGAATTTCTGATTTGCCAAAACCAATTAGAAGGCATATACTTTCATTTTTGCCAGCTGATGCTGCTATTAGATCTAGCATTTTATCGAGCAGTTGGCAGGGGTTGTGGACTGAACTTCCAAAATTAAAATTGAGTGAATATCAACTAAAATTTCAATTTCATAGGACACTTATGGTTAAAAAATTGCCTAAAGGTATGAATGACGGTGCTAGAGTGAAGAGAGAGGCAATTCTTAGGGAGAGGGAGGCGTTTTATGGGTTTCTTGATCGGGCTCTTGAGTCGAGTTCGGATTTCAAGAAGCTTGATCTTTATGTTTTTTACTACGGGTTGGAGTTGGAGTCTCACTTGGATCATTGGCTAGAATGTGTTGTTAGGCGTCGTATTAAAGTATTGAAATTGCACTTTAGTTCCCGGAAAAAACCCAGATATTGTTTGCCTAAGATTGTATTTGGTGCTAATTCATCACAAAATTGCACTTGCAAAAATGTGAGTTGAATTCGTCTCGTTTTGTGGATGCTCAATTACCTTCCTTACGAGAGATAGACCTTGAATATGTTTATATGGATGATGGAGTTATTGGAAGCCTAGCTGCTGTTTGTCCTAATCTCGAGGTTTTGGATGTCATAAGTTGTCGTGGGTTGACAAGATTTGTAGTCTCTGGTCTCAATAAGCTCGTAACTATGGAATTTGAGACATCTGCTGATGTAATTGATTTGATTGAGATTGAGGCTCCTAATCTGTTGGAGTTCTTCTATGTGAATGATCGCGATTTTGATGCTCAGACATGTGCAATCAAGGTGCTAGCCTGTCCAAAGATGAGACGACTGAGATTACATGGTGCTCAATTGGGTGATGCTGTTTTTAAACAGATCTTGAAAATCTCTTTGTCCTTGAAAAATTGGTATTATATCGCTGCAATGGGTTAGAACATGTTTCTGTTTCAAATCAAAATCTTGTCCATGTCGAGTTTTCCTTCTGTAGACGCGTTAAAATGGTTGAAATTGATGCTCCTAATCTAAATTCCTTTCATTATTCGAATGGTTAGCTTATGACTATTAAATCCAAGGGTTGTGCTCTCAAGTTAACCGAAGCAAGCATTTACGTACAACCAAACATCAGAGTTGACAACTGGTATGTTCGTTTCATCAAGTTTCTTGCAAAGCTTCGTCACTGTGAAAAGTTACAACTTATTGTTGGTTCTGGAGAGGTATAATAATGTTTTTCCTTCCCTTTCATGTTATATTTCTTTTTTTGTTGCATGATAAGTTTATAATTTAATTCTATCATGCTATCTATTAGCTAATTCTACCTTTTTTTTGGTGTTTTGTTTGCCATGATATTTTAAAAACAAGGGATTTCTGATCCCTGGATCAGTGAAGATGGAATCCTGCCCTCCCCTGCATGGAGTCAAAAATTTGGTGGTGCAGCTTCATTCATCATTACTTAAGTATGCTCAAGTCGAACTTGTTCAGGCTCTTCTTTGGCTTGCACCATGCCTAGAGTCTCTATCTATCAATAACGACTCTAATCCGTACTGCAAGTTTCTTAAGGTATTTGTATCTTGCCAAATTTTAGATTTGCTCATATTTCTGTTTATTTTAGGTGGTTTGTCCTGATAGACTTGTATTCCTATATTTATTACATCATAACTTGGAATTTTTGTGTAAAAATTCATGTTTAAAGATGTTTCTGTAGTAGTATTCCAGTAACATTGCTAAATAATTCGAAGTGTAAAAAGGAACTGACCACCACAAACAATTATCCAGTTTAAGATATACATTAGAGTTGGTAAAAATCAGAGACTGTCCAGCATTGCTATTGTTGTTGCCTAGGCATTTCGAGTCAGAAAACAAGTTGTGGTGACTCTGATAAGAATATATAACTAGATGACCTTATTTATTTGAAGTTTTTTCAGTTACTTGAGGTTAACTAATGACTCTTTACTTGTAATAAACCTGCAATATCATTCATATGTCCTGCTGCCTATATCAAGACTCATGATTTAGCTAAGAAGATAAAGTAGATAATGACAGAAAATTAACTTGCATTTGTTCATCTAATTGAACTGCACAGAGCTGTGCTCACATTTGTTCTTCTATATGTCTCCTTGCTGTAGGTTAAATTACTTAGAGCCCCACATATATGTTTTAAGAAATTTATTTAAATTTACTGCCTTTACTGGATATAAAACAAAAAAATTTGTAAATTACCACCCAAATAGTATACCTGTTTTGAAATTACCACCCGTTAATTTTTTTAATTTTATTTTACCACCCCTTAAATTAAAAAATTACTTATATTTTCACCTTTTCAAAATTCTGGTGGGTTTTCCGTCTGTGGGCCTCACCTAATGGCTACTAACCACTATTTTGACCCTTTTGACTGATTCCCCCCCTAATTTTTCTCTTTAAAACAGCACTCCTAACTTCAATTCACATTTCCTTCATCAAATTCCACTATAATTGGGATATATAGGTAGAATTGGGGGTTTTATGAAATTAGGGTTCATGCTTCAGTTGAATTGGGGGTTTTCTTAAATTAGGGTTCTAATTTTAATTGAATTGGGGTTTTTTTTTTGAAATTAGGGTTCCTACTTCAATTAAATGTGAGGTTGTTATGAAATAAGGGTTCCTTCCTCTTTCCCCTTTGCTCGAAGTATTTCCGTTGAGTGCGGATCCTTCCTCTGCCTCCCATGGTGGTTTCAGGTAAGAAGGAGGAGAGAGAAAATGTAGCAGGAAAATGGAGAAGAGAGGTTTTGTGGTGATGCGGCGAAAAACGTAAATGGAGGTGGGCCCACAGAAGAAAAACCCGCCGGATTTTGTAACTTTATAATTTAAGGGGTGGTAAAATTTAAAAAAATAAAATAAAAAATTAACGGGTGGTAGTTTCAAAACAGGTTTACTGTTTGGGTGGTAATTTACAAATATTCCTATAAAATAATAAACTTCATGCATACATTTCTTTACTTTGTTCATGCTTCATGCCCTTAAGAAGGATGTTCAGTGATTAAACTTATAGTTTAAGGCTTATTTGAGCATATTGTTTATTCTTTGCTATGTTTTAGGGAGTCTAAGAGTCGAGATGGAAGTCCCCTATGGATCTCAGATGTGGCTGTACAGGACATTTCAAACATTTTTGTTTAATAACTCAAGCCATCATTTTTCCTTCAAAAATAGATATTTTTCTAGTTGTACATTAACCTAGAGCAGTCATCACATATTTAGCTATGTGCTTTATGATTAAGTTGTGACGGTACATAGGACAAGGACTGAGAAAATGAAGCTTTCTTGTGTGCATATAAAACTAGAAACAGTGGGGATAACGAAAGAAAGCTACATGCCTTTGGCTGTGGGAGTTAAGTTGCTTAGGGCTCCACTAATTCGTTGGTACATTGCCCTCGGCCTTAGTTGCATGGTACTCATTTAGTGTTAGTCGTTAAATTGAATTCTACTGTTTCACCACACCTTCTCACATTGTTATGTCTTTGGCGAGTACATCTAGTATGTACTTATTTATGCAGATTGTTGTGGTCACTTTTTAATTAAGGCTGTGTTTAAAGACAGCTTGAAAACCTGGATGGCATCGTAACCATCCATTGTAAGTTTAAGATGGATGATAATTTTTTTTCAACAGTTGTGGTTGGATGACCAGTCTGGAACCTACTTTACATACAGAGTTACAAATAGCAAACTTTAGTCTCAGTATTCCCTTATTATTACTAATTTTTTCTTTGGCTTATGATGTCCCTATGTGCTTTCTGGGATATGTTTGTGTACCTCAATGTGAGGTATGACGTATGATATCATTGATCTTGTTGCTAGACTTCTTGCCTCCTTACCCCTAGGATTTTGTAATGTGATGTTAAAAATTATGTGAGCAACTTAAGCTTAAGGCTTTCTGGAGGAGATTTTTCTTATTAAATTAATATATGTCCCTTGCTCCTTTCATGTGTCAGTGTGTCACAAAGGCTCATATATATAAAATATATAGAATCTAATCTTATTCAAACAAATGTGTAAATCTATTGTGTAATTTGTATGCTTTTCATTCTTATAATGATTAAACATGTTTTGCTGGTAAGAAAAACATAGGGAATTGGGTTGTGGAGCACGGTTTGAATGAGATGATAATTTTGGTCTTGTTTCTCTTTTTATTTTTTAGTTCACATACGAGAAACCAGTGGAAGGCAAGAACTGTGGTTGCTGGAAGCATGCCCTTACTGAAGTATCCCTTGAGAATCGGAGTGGAGACGAAGACGATACAAAACTAGCAACTTTCTTTTCTAAGGTGAGGGTTGATGGGAAAACGGTATGTTTTGTCAAGAATGTGAGGCCTGGATGGTATCGAAGATAATGCTGGGCTTAGGTTTCCCCCGTATTTTCCTGAATATATAAATGGGGAAGATGCTTGGATATAGTTGGATCAGATGGGAAGCATTTTGGACCAAAGTTTCAGATCATGTATTATGAGCTTCACTTCTATTGGTGTGTTTGTATTTCCTTGGCTTTATGAGGTTTCCTTAAACAAGTATTTCTTTTATTTTTTCCTTTTTTTTGGAACGACTAAGGCTTTGTTGTTGTTGTTGTTTTGGAACGTTGGGTAGACATTAGACGATTCCATCTTTTTATTTGATGTAGGGCTTATGAAGGATTTGTTGTTTAAGGCTCATGAACTTACAGCCAACTGTCCGAATTCTTAAATGTTGTTGAAACTGTATCATATTTAGAATCATGCAGAGAAGCTGAGAAAGTTTCAAACTATTCACTTTTTGGTCTGAAATGATATGCAGATGTGTTGCAAGCAACCCAACGACCCTTCCCTTAAACAAGATGCTAATAATTTGCAGGAACATCAGGGGTGCAATGTCTCACTGATTTTTGACTCAGTCACATTCACAAGATGATTTTGACTCAGTTTTAGCATCTCTCGATTGAACTTGTCAGTTATTTGTTAAGGTTCAGTTGCTGAAGAGCAACAATGTATTGTGAGTACATTTGCATTAAAAACAATTCATACATTCCTTTAACAAGGTCTGTGAGACATTTGGATCTTTCAATGATATATTCCATGTCCCATTTAGTGAGTACATGAAACATTTATTTAAAAAGTTTTATATTTCGTCAAAAATAGTCAACGTAGTTGAAATGATTAAACTCAGAGTTAATTGGTTGAAATGCACAAAAAAAAAAAAAAAAAAAAAAAAAAAAAGTGGTTTGAAAATACAGGATGTTACAAAATATCTTAATATCTTTGACTAAGTAGTATTCACACGTTAGTTAGCTTCATCATTTTCATTGTGGTTGAATTAATAACTTAGAGGTCATGGAAGTGTTGAAAAAGGTCTTCCAACCATAGAAAGAAAAAGAAGGAAAGAGAAAGATTAAAGGAAATTCTCTTTAGTAACACCTGAATTGCAAAAAAAAAAAAAAAAAAAAAAAAAAATAAAAATAAAAAATAAAAAATTATTAGGGTGTGTTCTATTCATCTGATTTTTACTTATTTGAACTTAATTGAACTTATCTGAACTTATCAACCCTTATCTGAACTTATTACACCTTATTAACACTTATTTTCACTTATTTGACTTTATTAAACCTTACTAACACTTATAAGACTTTATTAGACATTATTTGTCATTCTTGAAACATATTGTGTAACATATTGGTAATATGAGTATATATATAACAATATATTAAAATAAAAGAAATAAAATATGAAAATATTAGCATTTTGATAATTTCAAATATCAAAAAAACAAACACTATAACAAGCAAAAGTGTATGTTGCAATAACACCAAATAAAATTTTAATCTTCTAATGCTTCATCATCATCATTCTCATCATCTCCTTCTTCTGTATCATCCTCTACGACACCTCCAACCGACTTCCATATATCTTTTGTTATTTTATCCCGAATACGGTTCATAGCTTTTTTCCTTTGTATATCATACAAATTATAATCTGCTCTAGTCTCCATTTCTTCAACCTCTTGAAATATTGGTATCCCTAATTCGTATAGACGGATAAAATTGTGAAGCGTAAATGTTGCAACAATGATAGACAATTGAAATGCTTCATCCATCGGTGGCATCATCTTTAAGATTTTCCATTTTTTCTTTAATACGCCGAAACATCTTTCAATTGTTGAACGTAAAGAGGAATGTCGATAATTATAATGCTCTAAGTTTCCAATAGGTGGACCCCTTTCTTCAAAATCTGGCAAATGATACCTCAAGTCTTTGCCCATTTGCGGGCTTAGATATCCAAGAGTATTTGGATATGCTGAGTCAACTAAAAAGTATTTTCCTATTCATTCAGAAGAAAATATTAGTATACACTAAAAATAAGGTAGCATATTTATCTAAGTAACAACAAATTTAAACTTTAAATATTACCTGAAGGTGGATGGGGGAATTTCTTGGTTATATCACCTAAACAATGTGTCCAAACTGTCGTGTCATGTGCACTTCCTTCGAAGCCCACATTAAGAAAAGTAAATAACATGTTAAACGAACACGCAACCATGACATTCCATGTTTTGTTTCCTTTACGTCCTCTATATGGCTTACCACCAACATCATCAACAACTGCTTCTATATGGGTACCATCTAAAGCTCCGACACAATTCTAAGAATGATTTTTTTAAAAATAATATTAGAATGAAAAAATGTAGCATGTTAGGATAAAATTTTTTACTAACTAAATACATTAGAATTGTAACCTTGAAAAATGGCCAATTTAATGAATTGTTTTTAATTTCTGGTGGTGATTCATTGAAACTCTTATATGGTCGAATAATATCACAAGATAATGAAGCCAAAGCTTTCAACACTGCTCTGAAGTAGATAGAAATGGTTGATATCGAATGTTGAAGTCTCTCCGCAGCATCACGATATGAATCAGCTTTAGCCATCATGAATAGACATATGCCGGCTTGCTCTTCCACGTGTATAAATCGACCATCAGATAATAGTTCTTTCCCTCTTAATACATCAACAAACTTTATGAAGATATCTTTATCAACCCTTAGTTGCTCTTTGCACAAATTAGGATGTCCAGTCAATAACCTATGTATCCACTCACTTCCAGGTTCACCCCCTACATGAAGAGGCATTCGTTCTATTTGAGTAAGTAATCTCTTCAATTCGTGCAAGACAATATACATCATACAATTTTGGTGCAATGTTTCGTCCATTCTACAAATCAAAATAAAATTTAATTTCTCAAAAAAAAAAAAATCAACAAATACGTAATTAATAATATGTGACTTTTCTTACTTGTCATTGAAACGTAATAAAATAAAGTTTCACATATCACAATAAAAACACATTAGTTACCAAAATTTAACTTGTTTCATATTGGAAAAATGAAACTTACACACCCAAAATTTAAAATAACAAGTGCTAAGCATCTTAGACGACTTATGATAGTTTAATAATCATCATCCAAGTTATCATCGAAGCTAGGCCTATAGAAATCATCTGGGAATGGGATTTTTGTCTTCAAATACAAGATTCTAAACTCATTATCCGGAAGAGACAAAAAAAATCACGTAAGAACTCCAACACTTGAAGAATGAAAGACTTTCCGTAATTGCTAACTGCCGACATCCCTTCCAATATTGAAATCATTTTTTCATATTTTGATGGAGATGGTCTAGGTTGTGTCTTAGAGGAACCTAGTTGCATGTTTCTTCTTAAATAATCCATGCAAGTTTCAATGTCATCCTTCACACTCTTTCTAGAGGTAGCACCGCAATCTGAACTCTTACGTTTGCTAGAAGATATGCTCTTGGGAGGGGACCTGCTTTCATAAGCTGACCTTTCAGTATCTTCCATATCATCATCTTTGGTTCTAAGTTCTTCATCAGAATCCCCAGCTCCTTCCTTAGAATCATCTTGAACAAGAATCATGGGTTGTTTGTGTTTGGTTTGTATGGTCGGTCCTCCAACGGCGGGAGACCAAGATTTGTTACTTGTTGCATACGTCCCAACAAATATATCATACAACTTATCCTCAAACATCAAGGGTTTCTTTAGAAAGCTTGAAGAGTTCTTATGTTTCTATAAGGCAATACAATAGAAAAAAAAAATATTGATATTATTCCAAGTAATAATAACAAAAATATAAGTACAAAAAGAAAAATTCATAACCTAAATACCTTTATAAATGCCTTCCATTTCTCATCTTTTGGATTAATCACAGGGCAACCCGTTTCCTCATTCCAACCAATTCCTGTCCAACTTTTAAGTTCGTTCCAAGCTTTAAATTTTCCTCTAATGTCACTATAAAAGTTTTCCAATTGTTTCTTTTCGAATTCTTTCCTTGTTTGTGCATTCAAACGTAATACAATTGTGTCCCAATTATACCTGCCACCTCTTGACTTTTTGTTTTATTTTATTAAATCAAAAAATATCTCAATATCCTCATTGTTCCATGATGTCCTTTCCTTAAAAGCCATTGTAGTTTTGCTAATAAATAAAATTTTCAAAGCATTATTAACTATATGAAGTCAATAAGATACTAATATGGGTGATGTTAGGACTTACAAATATAGGTGCTAAGATAAAAAATACACAAAACAACAAACACTCTAAAGCTATAGTTTAAAAACCAAGGTACACGTACTACTCAATTCCGAAATTCATATAAGTTAGCAAATCATGTCCTTGTATATGAAATAAAATATTGTCAACATAATGTAAGATAGTATAACATATTTCAAACTTAGTAGTTAATATAGACTTACGTATGTAGCTTGGTTGTCGATCAAGTATACTTTTTATTGAAACTACCTCCACAAAACCTGAAAAATATAGTAGAAAATAGTGTATTAGTATCAAAATAATGAAGTTATCTAAAATACTCATAAACAAGCTCTCGTACCTTTTTGGTGTTTTGTGAAGATACACCTAATTAGTTGTTGAATAAGAAAAAGCATGTGCATGCTATATATATATATATATATATATATATATATATATATATATATATATATATATATATATATATATATATATATATATATATATATATATTAATGGTAATTAAACGCATGCATGAAGAACTAAAACCACTATTTTATAACTTAAAAATAATGTGTACTTGAGTTTTAACAACATGCAATTAATTACTATTCTATAGCTTAGGAATAGTAAAAACTTAACGGTTAACAACACTACTATTTTATAGTTTAGAAATAGTAAAAATTCTCCTTTGGTTTTGTTGTTGATCTGACTTTCATTCTCATTAATTTCCCTTTGTTTTTTTCACTAAAATAATAAACTTGTTGATTTGCTTAACTTTTATATAAGCAAACTTTATCTAGTCTTACCATAACTTATGAGTATAACGTTACTTTAATTTTATTTTTTATTCAAATGTGACTTTATTCTTATATGAAATCATGATAATAAAACACATAAAATTTTACAAAAAAAAATAGTGAAAAACAATCTTGATTAGTAATAACTCTATATAAATATAATAAGTGGAAATAAGGTGAGGAGAACGTTAATTTAGAACTTATTAACCCTGAACTTATATGAACTTATTAACCCTTATCTGAACTTATTAAACCTGAAATAAGTGAAAATAAGGTGAACAGAACAGACCCTAATGATTAAATTTTAACTATAGTTAGAGGTGTTGAGTTAGTTTTTTAATAATTAAATAATTTTAAAAAATATTATTTAAAAAAAAAAAACCAAACCTTCTGACTTCTCCCTCCCAGCCCAACCACCAGCCCCACTCCTCCCCCTG